TTATAATTGTTAATAAAAGTAATATTTTATTCCAACATTTCTTAATTTTTGGTTTGCAGTCAGCACATTATTACTTCGTGTAAAAAGTATTTTCAAGCCTTCTTAGGTGTTTTTCTCAACTTAGTAGAAGTGAAATAAAAAAAATTATAACTTATTTTTTTCAAATTTTATCAAAAACATTAAAATTAAGGCTTGGAATAATTTTTTTTACTTACCTTTTAAAATCATAATTATAATTTTTATTTTGCCATTGTTTTTTTATGGCTTGCAATTTTTTTATTAAAAAATTATATTTTACAACAATATTAAAAACATATTTTTTGATAGCAGCTTTAATATATATAAAAAGTTGTACTAAATTAAGGGATATAATTTTGATTTAGAACTGCTAGTTAGTTATCATATACATTTAAAAAAAATATCTTTTAAAAAATTTCTTTCATCAAAATATATAAGGGTATGAATATAATTTATTCTTACACAACAGCAGCACAGCAGCTCCACAATTATTATATATAGCAATTTCAGAAAGCAGCCTTCTGTACAACAATTTCACAACCTGCTTTACCAACAGCTGCAACCGTCCGAAACGCACCCTTAGAGCATGAATGATACTTTATATCCCTTGCTTTTATGCTATTAAAATTCGTATAAGTGTTACCCATTGTTAAAGTAGGAGTTGAAAGAGAATGTTCTTCAATGACTATAATAAAAAATCGACTATGAAATATAATTTGAGATCAATGGATGAATGATACTTTAGTTGATTGATAAATAAATATTGAAATGTATTGATAATGAAGTTACTTTTCAACTCTTACAGAATATAAAGTGTAGAAACTATAAATTGTAATTATTTTCATCTTATCTTTAATATTTTATCTTTTAAAAAAAAGAAATTCAACAAAAAAAAATTAAAAATCCTAATGACGCCCCAAGCCTAGATGAAAAAAAAAGAGAGAAATTAAAAAAAAAAATAATTTGAGCCTCTTCTATAAGAAATATCTAGCCCTGCCACTTTGTAAAAATAATAGCATGTTTTTATCTGAATATAATTTATTTTTTGGACCGATTTGAAGAAAAAACATACAATCAGATATTTGATCAATTTCATCCAACCCGAGGGACATATGGTCAAATTTCCTCTCTTCTTTCATAGATAGAACTACAACTTTTAAAATCGGACGGATCAGCCAATTGAACCGCGAACCAGCCGGCCGGCCGGTTACGGTTCGCGTTTAAACTGTCTCAACATATAACAGGCTGCTAACCGCTTGAACCGGCGGTTCAACCGCCGAACCCATGACGAGCTCCCGTTTCCGATAACCGGCCGGATCAGCTACAGTTACACCCGACAGCTGAGGCGCGATTAGGCGAGTGCGAAGGCGGAAAAAAAAAACCTAGCTCATTCGGACGTATGCTGCCTATCTTCTTCCCGTCTCGTCTCAGCGTCTCCGGCAGTCCGGCGTCTCTTTATTGTTCGCGAAGCCAACGTCGCCTGCTCGTTCGAAGCTAGAAGCCAACATTTCTTATAATCCTGCCCGTTCACGAAGCTAGAAGACAACTCTGATCATTCTGGTTTGTTTGAGTTTATTTAAATCCAAATTTATTTTTCTCAAATGATTTCTTTGTTGACACTGAGGTCACTAATAGTCTCCTTGGTTGCATAGTCTGAAGACTCTGAACTGGGGCGGGACTAACAGACGTTACTGAAAAAGGTGATGCGCCTTTTTTTTTTTTTCCTGAAATGTTTTTTTTTTTCTATTTGTGTGTGACTGTGTTGGGTTTGCTGATTAGTTAGGTTTTCTTCAGTTTGAGGTTTTTGGTTAATGATCCCCCGCTCTTTTTGGGTTTTTTTTTTGGCTCTTTTATTGTGCGTTGAGATTGATTAGGTTCAAGCTATGACATGAAATGCTTGTTTTGTCATATTTGGTGCATTTTTTTCTTCTTAAGCTTTGAAGAAATAACAACGTGTTTAAATTCTGGATACGTTGTTTAGATAGTAATGCCCTAATTCTTTTTTCTTTGTGCTTTATCGTTGATATGCACCTTCATACATGATTAAACAATGACAAGAGGGCAATAAATTGTTTATAGATCATAATCATCGCATAATAAGTTGATTTGGATGACTATTTTGGCTTATTAATCAGAATTATGAAGCGCTGTGAAGTAATGCTTATGTTGTATTTATAATAATAAATTTTCTTGTAGGTTACAAGCAAGAGAAAACTGAATAAGTTTTGAAAAGGTCAAAACTTATGTTGTTTGACCAAGGCTTAACCTTTGAGCAGGCTTCATTAGCATTCTAACGATTAAAGCTTAAGGCCAAACATTTAGTGGAAAATTTCTTAATAGTAAATAATCAAAATGGCTCAAACACTAAATGTTTGACCTTAAGCTTTAATCGTTTGAATGCTAGTGAAGCCTACTCAAAGGCTAAGCCTTGGTTGTTAGCTGGGAAGCTCAAGTGAAAATATATGCGGCGGTTGTTTATTAGAATTTAACCCAGCCATTTCAGAAGGTTAAAAGGTAATATAGAGAATAATTTGTTGAAAATTTAGTCCTTTTGTTTTTAGTAGTATGTAGACTAGAAAAGTTACATGTCACGCAAAGGCGAATGCTCAGAATGGAGAAGGATCCAAGCCCAAACAGCTGAAGGCTTATAATTAGGAGAACTTAGTAGAGGCTCAAGTTTAGAGTGATAACCTTCCTCCTAATTGATTTCTCTTGCAAGAAACCAGAGAAGATTTAACTATACCTGAAAACTGTTTTATGTCGTCGTATTCATGGAAGCTTTGTGTAAAAAATTGCCTTTGCTTGGATGTTGAATAGGCCACATCGGTTAATGATGGTGATGACGTAGATTCTTGGATAGTTCTTTAAACCCCTAATGTATGCTATATCTTTGATTCCAATTGTTACTATGGCCGATATTGATCCAAAACTGAAATAGCTTGTGATCCATAATTCGTAATCCAGAAAATGATCTCATGGTGTTTTAGAGATGATTTAGGTGACGATGCCAAGTGGTTAATCATACGTGTAGAATTTCTTTATCATCCTTTGTTTTGTATAGACGATGCCTAAAATGTGTATGGAGTTTTCTACTTTATACTGGGCAAGAGAAAGTATAAGTAGAATTATTTCTTAGGTTAGAGAGAGAGGAAATGATTAGGAAGTGACTCATGAATCGGCTTACTCTCAAATATGATTGCGAGCAGTGTTTATTCTTAAAGAGGAGAAGAAAAAGTGCACTATACAGAAACAACACAATTTATAGTTGTTCATATGCCTACATCCACTATAGTGAGAGGGATGATTCATTATTTTTCACCAAGGACTACATAAGATTATGTATTGTAACTATGTGAATTAAAAGAAAGATGTCGTGGAAGGCCATGCATTCCTCTCAGTTATGATGGATAGGTTCTTAAAGAGGAGGAAGCTTTTAGAGGTTGGAATGGCTTTAGAGAAGGTCCCGTAAAGAGAATATCTAGAGGATTTCCCCTTGTGACGCTATGGTTCTTCTAGAGGAAGAAGATGATCCCTTTTTATTTTTTAATTGATGCCCCTGATTCTCCTTTTTCTCCATTGTGTCCTTCCTTTTTCCTTCATAGAGTTGCATGGTTTCTTTTATAGTAGAGATGCTTGCATTCAGTGGCCGCCTGTCAAGTGAAAAAGAATGAAGGTGTGAGGATATCATGTGGTAGACATGCTGATGAGTTTAGAGCTGTGAACCGGCAGTGGTGATATTTATGAGTTGAAAAGCCATAATGCCCAGTTGCTAAGGACAGCAATGCTGATTGCCTGGAGGCGTGGTGTTTTACATTGGGAAGAGGCAGAATTGGGAGTATTTGAAGTGCTAGGCCGAGAGGAATTCTGGCAGTGTTTGCACTGAATGGCTGAGAATTTTTGACAAGAAACAAGTTTTTATCTCACGAGGAAAGAATTATATTTCTTGGAGATGATTAAAGTACTCTGTGTCCAGAAAGTATTAGCCTTACGTGACTGTTCAATTACCATTTCCTGTTGTTGAGCAAATTAGAACATGTGGTTAGTGGAGATTGAACCGACAGGTAGATTTTTAAATTTGTTATCACCAACTGTAGTAAATAGTAGCTTTTGTCTTTTGCAAACAGGAACGTAGCTCCAGTAGCTTCTAGCTGTAGAAAATAGCAACTCCCGGCTGCAAGATATTGGCTTCTCTGATAGAGACATTCAAATTGAAAGGAAGTTATGGAATCATTGTACTCTTCCATGGCCTTTTTAATCGAGAAGAAAGTATTAAGTATTACTTATATTTCTCAAATAAAATTCCTTAGCATTCTAAAAGTAATATGACATGATTACATAAAAACAAACAAATAAATATTTTACAAGGATCATGCTTTGAACCCTGTCATCTTTTTATGGTCTGAATTTTTCTTGAGCTACTTATGTTAAAAAAAGCTTATAGTTTAAAAACAACTTAACTACGTTGGAGATTCTAAGTTGTATGGTTCTCTTCAGATACTGTAGCACTAAACAGCATCTAGATAATGTTGACATCTCTTACTGCTTTTGACAAACAGCCGATCACTAACACTAAATCTCAATAATGCACAACCTAAAAACACTCATAAACCTTGTCCTTTATCCATCCATTGAGCTTCTTCAATGAATAGTGGCGATGTGATTGCAACAGCAAATATCCAAACCCCTTCATCCTTTTTACTTGTGCTTTTATTTCCCTCCCTGTCACTGAAGTTTCAAGTGACGCTAAAATCAATTATCCATTCTTTCAGTTGGAAGTTCAATATTTTGATAATCGATAAGATTGCTTAAAATTTCAGACTTTGGATGCTAAAATTCATACTTTGGACATTCTTTTTTGTCCTCTCTTTGCTGGTCTTGTTTCACTTGCCTAATTCATGGAGTAGTAGCACCAACTGGAGTCTTCCGCCCATAATCTAAAACACTATTTTCTTTAAGTTCTGATCCAAATTTGCTTTTTATCCACAGGAATAACGTTTTTCACATTAAGGGAAGGAGGGTGGACCAATGGCAGCTGCAACTCAGATGTTCAGTGGCAATATGAAGGTAATTTGCTGACTTAACAATATGAATTGCATGGAAAAGATCCTATGAAATTTGTTTTTTAGAATGTGGTTTCTTGCATAATTCTTGTTATTTTTTTGTTTGAGATTTTTTCATGATGCACTGCTGTTTTGATCAATCATTAGCCTATTTTCTCTTGTGAGGTTTCATAATTTTTATTTGATTTAATCAAAAATCAAAACTTGAGATGATATGAATTATCTTCTATTCCACTTTAATCTCCTTTGAGCTATTTTAAAACTATGGGAGAGAGTTAGGGAGCATAGGTTGCAGCGTGATATTAATGTTTTTCAAAATCAATTTGGATTCATGTTGGATAGATCTACTATGGAAGCTATACATTTATTGAGAGGTTTAATGGAGAAGTATAGAGAGAATAAGGAGGATCTACATATAATATTTATTGATTTAGAGAAATCATATGATAAAGTTTCAAGAGAAGTGTTATGGAGAGTTCTAGAAAAGAAATGGGTTAATAATGCTTATTCAAGTCATTAAGGATATGCATGAGGAGCTGTTATATTTTTCTATTTCAGTTGGATTACATTAAGGATCAACCTTAAGCACATATTTTTTTTGCTATAGCCATGGATATTCTCACTAGACATTTGTAAGAGGTTGTACTCTGCTGTATACTTTTTGCTGATGATATTCTTCTTGTTGATAAGACTAGAGAGGGAGTTGAAGGTTAACTTGAATTATGGAGGCCAACCTTAGTGTCTAAAGGATTTTGTTTGAGTAGATCTAAAATTGAATAAGTGTGGGCTTTAGGGGTATAATTTATACCGTATAACCGAGTCGAGTCGAGTCAAGTTGTGGCCTTGTCGAGCTTGGCTCGTGGTCTCGGTTGGATTTTTAAAATTTAAGTGAGATTTAAAAATATATAAATTTAATAAATATGTTTATCTACTGGATTTTTAAAATTTAGGTGAGATTTAAAAATATATTTAGAATTTTTTATTAATTTTTTAAAATATTTAAATTTAATAAATAAAATAAAGTTATTTAAAAATATTAATAATTATTCGAGCTGACTCGCAAGATCACAAGTCGAGCCTCATCAAGCTCGAACTCGAGCTCGTTTAGTACTCGAGCTTATTTACTAAACGAGCTCGAGTTTGAGCTTGACTCGTGAGTTTGATAAGCTCGATTTGCGAGCATATAAACGAGTCGAGCTCGAGCCAGCTTGCGAGTCGGCTCGGCTCAGTTACACCCCAATTGGACTCCAAAAATTTGCTCCCTGGCCTCTCCGAGGACCTTTCTTCTTTTTCAAATCATCAAGAAGAGTTTTAACAAGTAGATTCCGGAGCAAATTTTCAGAAAACATATTGGGTTTGAAATAAGACACAACTTAAAGATTTCACCCTCATTTTGTGAGGACTCTAGATCTGAGTTTAGGTTTTCTATAGGCGCAAACCCCTATAGTTAATTACCCCTCCCAATTGCAAGAGAGAACTTTCGATTAAGGCTAGTTGTGAAATAGATACATAGAGATACGTGGTATCTGGTGTATAGTAGCAACATGTAGTTAACTTTCTAAGAATTGATATTTAAAATTGAAAATTTCACCATCTTGTACTTAAAGCAGATGGTGGAGGAATAAATGATGGACCCGATCAAAAATCTCATGGTTCCGTCGTCCTAGGTCATCATGATCCCTTGTTTGCTTAGTCAAAGGAGGTAATCGATCCAACATGATAGAAAGATCCTTGTCGGCAGCCATGAGTTGCTTTTTCCAAGTGTACCATGTCGACCTGGGGTGACTATTTGTCTAAGGGGACAAATCTGAATCCACCTTAGGTAAAAGAGAGCTTTGTGCCCTATCGATTATATTATATTGATATCTCAAGGATTTGAATCCATTGGGGAACATGCGGGCTCTAATCATGACCATAATTTAGTTGTGTTATTTGACGACAAAATCACCTGATTCAGAGGGTCCCGATCATAACTGCTTGCCTATGGTGTCATTTGGCGGCAAAACCACCCGATTCATAGCCTCCCGGTCATAATCGTTTGCCTTTGACACCACGTCCTTACTGACAAGAGACTGTTTGAGAATGATTCTTAATGATATTCTCGACTAGATATCGACTCTTTGTGAGATGATGTAATTTTCAAATTTGTCCATCTCGATAAACTGTGTCGGATGGTGGATGGATTTTACTCTAAGTGTTCGATGGTTAATTTCAATTTTAAATATATTAAGTTTGATATTTTGGGATTTTGAATTTTCACGGGTATTTGGGAATTTTGGGAGGCATTTTTAAATATTTGAGATCCTCTTCAGATGAGATTTTCTGTCAACACGACTATCATTAGAGTACTTATGGGCAATTTCATCTAGTTGGTTGGATATTGTCTTCCCTGTCCACTTGCCGACAGAGGATCGGGTCCGTTGTGAACTTTGTGCCTTTGAAAATGAATTTTTTTGCGTTAGGCCTTGAAGGCCTAATGTGAATGTATAAAACAAATATCTTGGTCGACACCGCGGCCGTATATTTGTTTAACGGTTTAAGCCATGTCAACTCCTATTTATCCACATAGAACAATCGGGCTCGAACTTGAGTTCATGTATTGACCCACGCAGTATCCTCGAACGTCACGTGTATGCAAACAACATGCTTGTCAGGGCCCATGCTAGTATATGGGTTTGAATGCATTTTGCAAGATGTGTTTGTGTAGTGGTTGCATGTTTACAATATAACGGGTACACACGACATATTTGCACGTTAACATATTCGTGAATGTACTTGTGTATTTATATGCATGCATGTATATCAGCATATATATTTTCATTTTTGCATGATGCTTGACATATGATGTGGCGAATTAATGCGCCAGCATAAGGTATAATGCATTTGCATCATGGTTTAAAATTGCGCAATATGAGGCTCGCCTTGAGGCCCGCATTTGCGCAATTCCAGTAAAAAACGCTTCAATGCTTACGCCTCAAGTTTTTTTTTAATGAGGCTTACGCCTCAACTTGGTTGAGGTTCGCCTTGAGGCCCGCCTCGCCTCACTGGCATGAGGCTTACGCCTCACGCTATATATATTAAAACTTACATAAATCTTGAAGTAAATGCCCGACATTGGACTTTATAGGAGAGGAGGAAGGGGAGAGAGCAGTTCATCATAATGATGATTCAAATGAAGAACCCTTGGTGATGACAACGTTGATGACTTATGAGTTTTTATGTGATATGTCATTGCTATTTGTTTTTGAAAATTGGAATTATATGTTAATGAAAAGAATACTGGGATTTGGGAAAGATAGAATTTTGAGTTGAACTATATTTCATGTTGTCTTATTATTGGAATATTTTGATTTCACTTCATATCTTATGCTTTTTTATATTTTATATTATTCATTCATTAGTATATAAAAAATTATCATTTTATGTTTACGCAATCTTTTGATTTTGAGGCTTACGCCTCAAAACGCCTTGAGGCTTATGCCTCGCCTCACGGATGAAAAACGCCTCAATACCCGAATACGCAATTTTAAACATTGATTTGCATAATACGCATATGTGATGTATTTTGCATTTGCATGTTGTTTAATCATGATTGCATGATATTTTGCATGTTGCGTAATAGCTTAATGCAATAGTGTACAATATGCATATAAGATGCATGTTGCGTATTACAATGCACACTTTGCATGCAACAATGTATATGCATTATGCGTTCTTGTATTAGGCGAGGATGCATGTAACACGTATACTCATTCCTAACGACATGCAGTCGTGATATGCTTGTGTCGTACTCTTGTATACGCACAATGCATTTTGCATGTATTTTGCATGATGCCTTTGTATATTACAGATATAGTGTTGGGTTTCATTTGAGAATTTGTAAACGTTTTATGTTCGCTTGTATACATGTTGCAGATCCATTGGCGTGACACTGTAGTACGTTGAATTTCATATGCCATGCATTGATAATGCAGTTTGACTCATTTGATCTTCTGCATATTGTCGCCATCTTTAATATTCAACCTACGTCAGTGTACTTTTGCCTGTAACATGTTGCATGACACATCAGGGCCTTCCATCTATCTTTTGCAGGTAAATTGATTTATCTAGCATGAGGACCTAGCGTCGTAAATTTACGGCCTCAATTTATCAGTGGCCCGTAGTTTTTATTACTGATTCCCTGCTTTTGCTTACAGGTAAATCGTAGTGATTGCGAATTTTGTTGAATTTGTCCGCGAGTAGTGCGTTGTTAGCAGAAGTTCAAAAGTCACCCGCTATTGCATGCAGATGGACTTCATTCAATGTGTATTTTTCTTGTGGGCGAGTTGCAGCATTGCGCTATGGGTCGCCCATTACTTGTTGCAGGCGAGATGCTACTGCAAGCTTTGTTGAATATGTTTATAAGTCGTCAGTGGATATCCAGAAGTCACCAGCTTAGCTTGTAGGGGATTCATTATATTTACATAGTGTACACTGTCATTGCTTGTAAACAGGACCGCTGTATACATTACGGGCCTTGTACCGCCTCATCTAGGCAAGTTACAGGGAATGTAGATCTTTTAACATTGCTAACAAACATTTGCATTCACAACCCTTATGCTTGTTTGTAGATGGCTCATTATGCATGTGACGGATTTTTTATGACTACACATATGTGTTTGCATGTATTACATATCATCCGCATTTTGCTTGTAAATAGTACGTTGTGTGCATGACAAGTCTTCTTCATCAGCTCGTAGGTACTTGCGTTTGTTGTATGGTGGCCGCTTTTGCTAGTAAAGGATTAATGTGTTATACTGGTCCATTGGACCAGTTTATACGGGATCGGCCCAAGCAAATAGAGGTGGAAGTCTTCGCCTTCTGTACATGATGATCAAGCCTCCCAGTTTAGAGGAACTAATTAAGAAGATTTTAGGAGAAGATTAGGAGGGAAATTTGAATGTAGGGACTGTTTAGAGATTTCTTTTTAAATTGTATGCATTAAATAGTTTGTTTTCCCAGGGT